GATTATGTGCACACAATTTTGTTTTCGATTGATCTTTCTATCGAATCACAATTGAATTTTTACGGTTGCTAAAAATTAAAGCACCAAATATATATTTTAAAATAGTTATAAGCGTTATTTTGGTATTCTCAACAAAATAAATCTATAGAGTTTAGAACATTTTTCCTAAGTTTTTTAAAATATTCAATTTTTAGAAAGAATAATATTGTATTTTTCTAAATTAATCTTTCATTTAAGAATCAAAGCTTGGAATTCTTTTAATAAAGTTTTCTCAAAATTCGTGAAAGACTCTATAAAGAGATCCTAAAATTTTGCTTTGACTTTTACATGGGCATTACCACAAACTATTTTATAGACTTAGAATTTCATACAAAAAAAAGTGCAAAATTTTATTTTTCTACTTTTCAGCTTAAAAATTCTACTTTTCAGTTTTTTTGGATGGGAAATTTTTACTTTTCAGTTTTTAAAAAAAAATATACTGAAAATTACAAAATATATGAAAATATTCAAATAGGTACAAAAACCAAATATTAAAATTATAATTGATGACTTGAACCAATATTCTTTTTAAAAAACTGAAAAATAAATATTTCCCTTAAAAAATTTAATAAAAAGCGTTTTTATGTGTGCGTATGTTTATGAAAAATACAAACACAAATACAATTATTTTTGCTAGAAATACACATCACCACATATTTATAAAAAATATACAACTCAAAAAATTTTCAAAAATTTAAAAATTTTTAAAATACTGAAATTATTCAGTTCACATGATTTGATTTTCAATATATTTTTCAAAAGCACACTGTTTTTTTTATTATTAAAAGTACTGACTGCGTTAATATTTACACATTTTGTCATAGTATATGTAGTAACTCACACATAGATATTTCTTTTTTATGAACAAAATAAATTATTTACAAATCGAAAAGATTTCTTATTAAAAGTAGCTAATAAAAATTATTAAAGTTGGTTCAAATATTGCTCGAATTCAAGGGTTGCTTGCGTCATTTAATGTTAGCTTTCATTCATAAAAATTTGAAAAAGATTACAGTTTCGGAAATATGTGCTGTCAAAAATGGGACCTTAACAAATTTAGAGAGGCGAAAACTTGCGAGGGGGGTGGAGTTGGAAAAAAATTTTTATTAGTATCTTAAAGCTAGAAAAGTTTCAGACTTCTATATAATAGAAGTACGGAAACTTTTCTAGCTTTAGAATAGAAAAATATACGGGTTTTAGGTTAATTTTAGCAGACATTTCTTTTTAATATTCAGTTATGCTTTTTTGCATTTGAATGTTTAGGGTTTCTTTAAAATGGCTTTTTGAGAGATTATAGCTTTTAGAGGGAAGGGAGAGATAGCTAAAACTTTTCTACCGAAGTAAGTTTCTTGTAAAGATCCATTCATATACATATTATGAAATTTCTGTGTTCTTTCTTCAGGGTGTAGTAGTTTTGCAATTGAGTACACGAGCAGAGGGAAATTATAAGCACTTATTTTCAAAATTGAAGAGTCCTAAAAAAATTAAATGAAAAAAAATGAAAGACAAAATTATTAACATCATTAGCATCAAGTTCATCAATATTATTTTTAAATGCTTAAAAGAAAAAACATCCTTTTTAATTTTAGATTTCGGTGTACGTAGCGACATCTAACCAAAAAATGTTTTAATTCAAAATCTCTTACTTATTTCTGGCAATCCATAACATTAAAATGGTGTTATAAACCAAGCGATTGAAGAAGTAACACAACTTTTTTATGGTCCTAAAAAAATTAATTTTTAAGAAAAAATTAAATCAGAATATTGAAGATTAAGAAATAGATTTAGCAATCAACACTATTATTCAAAACTGAGATGAGCAAAATGCTTTTTTTCAAAGAATCGAATCATAAGAATCATTCATTTCCACTGAGTCGTTCAAAATGATTCGTTCAAAAAGATTCATTAGAAAATTTACCACACCATAGCCAAACGCGCCAGCTACACATAAGTTTAAATCTACGATTTAAACTATGATCAAATCTGATTTTTACGTATTTACACATCAGTTTGTTTATATCTAATGTATCTAGCAATCGTAATATTTGTTCTTATGTGTGTCTTGAAATTTTTTACAAATGAGAAAGAACAAAATGGTAAAAGAATTTAAATATTGGTAAAACTTTTCTTCTATGGAAATAAACTTCTAGTTAAGATCTATTTATATATGTATTATGAAATTTCAGTTTTCTATTTTGAAGGTTTGCAAACAGGTCCACGGACGGATGGATGGACAGACGAAAACCATAAGCAATTATTTTCAAAATTTTTGAAAAATCCTTAAAAAATAAAATAGAAATAAGTGAAAGACGAAATAATCAACATCATTAGAATCAAATTCAACAACATCATTTTTAAAATTATTTAAATAGGTTTTGAAATCCCCAAAATATTAAAATTTTATATTTTTTTTTTTGACGTTTTGTTTTAATTTTTTTTATATTTATTTTGTCCCTAAAAGAAAATTTGATTTCGATGTACTTAGCGACTTCTAATCAAAAAATTAATGTCTTTACATCTAACAAGTCCCAATACTCAATTTTTTTACGAAATATTACGAATTTTTGGCTTCGTTCCTGTTTTTTTCTTTAAATGCCACTGATCGTGTTATATTTCTTATTATTTTTTTCTTTTTTTTACGTAAAAAAGAGTTTAATATTTTAAAAAATCTCAGAATATTATACCATTTCCCATTTAAATTCTATTGCACGAAAAAGAAAGAAAGGTAGGAGGAAAGAAAACATGATAAAAAATTTCAAATTCATATTTCAGTATGGTTTCAAATGTTAATGAGGAAGGATGTATGATTTTTCATGCACATTTTGTATTTCCCAATAAGGTAAGTTGAGAAGTGTCGGCTAAAAAAAATGTTAGTAAAAGTAATATAGGTTGACTCATTTCTACAATTTGAATTATCTCATTTTGGTTATTTATATGTTACTTATAAAATTGTTTCAAATAATTTCAGTTAGTTTTTAAGTTATTAAAAATAAATATGTATGTACCTACTTCCAATCAATTTTTTTTTTCAAATAATTATTTTAAAACTATTTCAAACATGTTCTTCTTTCATATTTTATTAGCAGGTAAACAAGAGCAATCTATTTATAAAATGACCCTGCCTGTGTATGAATCTTAATAGTAAACGCAAACGGACAAAAATTTACGAATATCAGTACCTACTACTTGTCATTTTACAATCGGAGTTTTTGAGTCATTTGCTAAGATACTATTTATTTCAAAAATTAAAAAGATATTCGAATCCGGTCATAAAAATATATTATTGTCTTTTCCAAAACCTTTTAAATATATTTTTACTTAGGTAATATATCAAGTTTTAAAAATTTTTCTCAAAAATAGAGGTAAAATTTAGCAGTGTATATAAAATTTGTATTTAAAAAATAATATTTGATTGTATTTTAGATATTATTTTCTAATTCCCTCTTCAAATTTTTTCTTTACTATGTATTCATATCAATATTTAATAATTATATTTCATTAATTATATTTTCAACTTGACACCACAGTTACTTCTCATATCTTGAGTTAACTTACCCTATGAGAAAAAAAGCTGTTCATTTAAAAATAATGAAATGCTTTCATTAACATACAAAACGTTGAAGTCAAGATTTTAAAATAATTATAAATAAAAATATTTATATATTTTCTTGATTTTACAAATATATTAGAATTTAAAAAATTATGGGAAAATATAATTCTTTACCTAAACGAAATTCGATTTGAAATCAATTTTAAACAAAAAATAATTCGAAAAGCGTGTGTCCGTTTATGAATGACACATTTTTTCAAAAGGTCTTTAATTTCTTTTACAAATGTCGTTTCCAAAAGAAAGATGGCGGAGACCCAAAAATATTTTTTTATGTAAAGTTTTTGTTTTTCTAAAATTCAAAATTAATTTAAAAAAAAAATCATATATTGTTAATGTTTAATTTCGCGCTTTACACACTTGGAAATGAATTGACAGTTACCAGATCAATTTGACATTAAAAAAAAAGCAGCAAAAAAATGTACCTACGAAAGTCGAAAATATCACTACGTTGCGTAGGCATGTAACTCATTTGGGTAACTTGATTTAACAAGCACGGATATAAAAACATTTTTGCCCCAAGCATTTTGTCCTATGCATCTATTTAGTCAGATGCCTTATTTTTTGTTTGGTGTTAATGGTAACCCTAAATTACTAATTACGCTAAAGTTCTCCATACTAGAAAACTTCCTTTCAAACAGCTTTGATAAAGTGCGTATGTAGCGCACGAAATATATTAGCAAAAAATAAAAAAAAAAGTATTTTATTCCGAATAAAAGGAAGTTTTCTTTTCATACCAATAAAAAAAAAAAAAGAATTATATTTCGGAAAAATTATCAACCATTGAAAAAAAAATTTTTTTTTGAATTCTCCATATTACTTTTTTTAAGACAAAATGCTACTGAAAAACAAGGTGAAATTAACAACACTGCACATGACTATTCAAAACTTACAAAAACCATTGTTGATTATTTCTATGTATAAAGTTCTTTTTATTCTAATCATATGTAGTCAAATATTATAACATAAAATATGTCACACAAAAACCAGATTTAAAAAAACAAAATTATTTTGATAATTTCATTATTTTTTTATTTCTTATGTTTACTTTTTATTTCATCTTCCTTTCCACTCCCACAACAATTGGTTAGTTGTTACACATGTTTCATTTAAGCTCAGCAGATGTTGCTAAATAAGATGGAAAGCATATGTGTATGTACATACATATTTTTTCTTTTCTGATGAGAAATTTTACACTGGATTAGGATGTCTGAAAAATAAATGCGTCTTTAATACTGGCCCGACCTGAACTGCCTCTCTTATCCGGAATGTTTACCAAGAAAAACCATGCATGTTTACAATTTTATTTGTTATAACATAATTAGTTTAATAAAATTAATTAATCTTTCCTCAGCCATTCGTTGAATGCTTCATACTCAAATAATATATCTGATAACTTTGATGCTCTGCCTTGCTGGCCTGAACGCACAGTTACCAGACTAGATGCTTATAGATTTTCTTTAGTTACTTTTGCTGTTCTTTTGGGACCTTTTGTTTTCTTCAATGTGCAAAAAACAAAGTATATTCAAGTAGCAACAGCTATTTTTCGTTGGTTTGGTAAGTTATACTCGTACTTTAGTTTCTTTTTTTTTTAAATTTGAATACAACAAACTTTTTTGCAGCTTTTTTAGTAATGATAACGATAGCGGTGGTGAAAATCTTTACGGAAGGTCCTCAAAAAAATCCACCAATGATAAATTTCAATGGTTTGCCAGCACTTTTTGGAGCATGTGTTTATTCATTTATGTGCCATCATTCTTTACCTAGCTTAATAGCACCTATAAATAATAAGAGCCATATTAAGGTGTTTATGGGTTTGGACTACCTGATGATTTGTTCATTTTACGTTTTACTAGCTATAACGGGCGTATTTGCTTTTGCAAATCTAGAAGACTTGTACACATTGAATTTTATACCAAAATCAGAACAAAATATGGGTTTTTTAAAGATTATTGAGTACTTCCTAGCTTTATTTCCAGTATTTACTCTCTCTGCAAGTTTTCCTGTCATAGCAATCACTTTAAAAAATAACTTACAAACCTTATTTTCTGGAAGAATCAGGGACCGTTCATATAGTAGCATCATAAGGCGTGTGGTGTTTCCTCTGCTAGCTATATCTCCACCGATAATAGTAACGTTTTTTACGGAAAGTGTTACAAATTTAGTTAGTTTTACTGGTTCTTATGCTGGTACGTCTATTCAATACTTTATACCTGCTGTTCTAGTATATTTAGCACGAAAAGTTTGCAAAAATCTTTTGGGAGATGGAATAGTTAACAAGTACCGCAGTCCATTTCAAAGTAAACTGTGGATAATTTTTGTTATAATTTGGGCAAGCGGATGTCTTATAATGGTAACTATTAAATTTTCGATTGGGTAGTAAGAAAATCAATAATAAAAAGAAGGATAATGGTTAAATTTCTGAATAAGTATGAAAAAAAAATTTTGTAAGTAATTTGAACTTTGTGATCTACTATTTAATACCAAAAATGATATTTTAATTAATAAATTTAAAATGAATTCTATTTTTTACTCTCAATAAATATTATGTAAAAAATCTTTGTTTGCGTATTTTCTATTAAGTTATAATATTTGATGCCAATAATTAAATAAATATCTCTAGATCTTTTTCCTGCAACTAAGTTTTTCTTTTTAATACAAAACTTTTATTTTTCACTTCTTTACTGAATATTTAAACAACATAATTTAGTATATAGTTGCCTCTTTGGTAGCTCTTTATAACTGTACTTCTATTTATTAAAAATATACTTAAAATTTACATATACATAGCTTACATATACGTATACTAAAAATTTCATATGCTTTGTATTACTCAAAACAGCTAAACGTATAAAATTGAAGGTTGGACTTTTGGATGCAGCGCTCGAGGCATGATGTAACGTCACATTATACTTAATATAAAACGTTAATTGATATTTTGCACTTATGCTTAGTAACTTTAGCAACAAGAATTATGGTACTTTTTACGAAAATTAAAGTTTAATTTGAAATAGCCCGAAATGTATTAGACATGGGGACTCGGAGAGTTGGTTACACCAACACAACTGCGGACATTGTAATAAATATATGAATTTAAATATTACTACATTTTTGAAGTCAGGGTTTATAAAATTTCTCATCATGCCTATCATTAAACTTCCTAAAATATTTTCTACTTCCAAATAATCGAATATTACTTTCTCATAATGGAAATATTTTTTTTAACCCACTTTGCGCCCGAACCTGAATTTTATACGCCACCTTGTACCAAACTCGTTGTAAGTTGAACATAAATTTGTTGAAAAATACAAAACAAAATAAACAAACTTTGAAACAAAATATTATACATAATAAACGTATATGTATGTACATATTATGTATGTAATAAATAAAACATATTTTTTGTTTGATAAAAGTCGAATGTCGACCATTTGGAAATAGCAGAGGACTTGATGGTTGTCAGATTGTTAAAAAATAGAAAATACGGACGATGTAATAAAGAAATCTTGTGGTTGCTAAAATAAACAAATCATACCATGTTCAAACGAATATATGTATAAGATGTATGTTTGGATCTTACAGTAAAAACCCTTAGAAGGTGGTATAAGGTAAGTCAATTTTCCAAAGGCTAATATAAGAACACTTGTTCAGATTTATAAAAATATTGTAGTGTGAGATTGACATGAAATCAAAAATAAAAAAAAATTAATTCACATAAAACCTAAAAGCACGAGATACTATAGCTACTTATTTAAACCGAAGTTTAAATAAGTGAATTCTTCAATTTGAGTATTTGCGATAATTCCTCTGACCGTAAAATTGGAGATGTTTCATTTATCCAACAGGAAAATATTCAACCACAAGCAAATAACAAATATGTTTTACCATATGAAGATCTACCACAAATTTCATGTGAAAAACTTCAACGGCAAAATTTTGAATGAAGCGGAATCAGTAAATACCAAGCACTTCAGAAAAAACAAATCCAAAGATAAAAAAAAGGTGATTGAGATTGATAAAGTACATTGGTACATATACTTAAAGGATATTTTATCCATTTGGAAGGCTTATACAATGACATCAAAGAGTTCAAAAGTTGGGGATTATCGATAATTCAGATCATCATCAGCTCGCGGGGAACTTTGACCTCGTTCACAATTTTCCGCCAGACTTCACGGTTCTGCCCATCTTAATCTGTGTTTCTTAATATATTTGAAGATATTTTGGCAATCAATTAATTCTTCTAGTTCCCGATTTGATCTTATTTCATATTTCCCGCTTTCATTTAATTTTGGACCAAATATTTTTCTGAGCAGTTTTCTTTCAAATATTTTTAGCTTTTTCCCGTACTTTGTTGTCATGGTCCATGTTTCGCACCTATTAGTATAGGTTGAATTAGCGCGTTGTACATTTTAATTTTTATTGACCTGGTTAGTAACCTGGATTGGAAAAGTCGCTTGTATGTATATAGCATTATTGTGCCGTTTGAATTCTCTCATTAATTGCATGTCATTTTTGTTATTTATTAAGGCCCCCAGGTATGTAAAACTTCTTACACCTGCAAAGTTGTAATTGCTAATAGTTACATTTTGAGCGTAGCTTCTTGTATCATTTCGCGTCATTAGCATGTATTTCGTCATTGACTCATTGATTATCAAACCCACAGAATCTGCTGTTCTCTCTAATATTAAAAACATTTCTTTCATTTCATAAAAAAAGCTGGCAATAATTGCAATATCATCTGCATACGCACAAACCATTGTCAATCTAATAAATATGACTCCAAATTCAAATTTTGAATATTAATTTTTGCGCATTTAAGAATAATCTTTAAAAAAACTTTGCGCATGCTACGACTTTCGAACGGTTCCTTGTTTTTAGTAAAGGTTTATTGAACATGCTACATTTGAAGATTTTGATTTGTATTAAGATCTAAGTTAAAACTGAATTTTCGAGAATGCCTTTGTTTAACTTAAAAGAGTATTTCAAAAAGACGTATTCTAGATACCAACTCCAAACTTTTCAAATTAAAGTTAAATTTTTTGCTTTTAAAATAAAGAAAAAAATCTGATGTGCTCAGCACATAACCGATCGCAATGTGTGTTGTCTAGTTAAGTGAAAGTGTTACAGAATATTATAAAAATATCTGTTAAATATTTCTTTCCAATTTTTAGGATATTAGTAAGCTTATAGTTAACATACCTAGAAAAATATAAATTTGGCTCTTAGTAGAGTTTCGCTTTGTGCTACCCGAATTCTCTGAAATGCTTGCTAATTGATTTCGGTAACAACCAGAACTCAAATATCAAATTTCAAAAAATTCCATCAATTCGTTCCGTATATATGGTAAAAAATGTAAAATCGCCCCGCAGATCAGTTTTCGAGCTCTGATCTTTCCAAAAAATTTATATGTTCATTGTTTCAATACGAAGAATTTAAATATTAAATTTCAATGAAATCGGTTTGTTATTTCTCTTTATATACGCAAAAATGTATATTTGGCCCTTTGTAAATGTCCAGTTACTGATACCTGATTTCTTCCAAAAGTTAAGAGATTTCGCGGACGGTCGAGCAAGGCTTATATATGAAATTTCAAGTAAATCGGTCGAATATTTTCTTCAAAATGGTCAAAAATGTAAAAAATTTCGTCAAAATCGGTTCAGGCGAACTTGAGACACACGCGTTCACACACAGACCGACGGACCGACAGACTGACAGACCGAGAGGTTGCTTAAAATAGTTTATTTACACTTCCCTGCCATGAAGAAGTACATTCTCACCGAAAACTCGATATGCAAAATTTGTTGCCATCACATAAACTACCTATTGTATACACAATTCGGTCCGTAAAAAACGAAGCTGTTAAGTTGAAGATAAAGGAAGCTTAAGAAATGCAAGTAAATGAAAATGTTATGGAACAAGATATGTTTTTGTAAATATTTCGTGATAACATATTGTTATGTTGTGATCCATATTTAACATACAGTAATCCCTCCTACAACGTATAGTTTGGGTTCGAGAATTCTCTACTTCAAAAGGCGTTAGCAAAAAAATCTTGAGATTAAATAAAAGTGATATAACGAACTTGATATAATAACGAAATATCCAATATTTGGTTGGCCCACAAACATACATACTTACATTTCCTTACCAAAAAAAATCGAATATAACGAAACATCTCTAGCAGCCGAATAGCATATAACAACGCGTTTTTTTTGTATTTTATGGTTTAAGAACCGGACGTAGCAACGAAAAAATAAAAAATGTTAATAATATGCAAACAATTTTCATTTGTTTTGTCAAAGCGACAAAACAATACTGCAAAAATTAGCTAGCGATGTTATATAGTTTTAGACATAAATTTTTTTTAAATGCTTATTCCGTATGTCCGTACGAATCGTGTTCTTCTTTCATCCACATACTATATTTGTAGTATTGTATTTATGAAATTTCTGTCTTCTTTTTTGAACGCAAATTTTTTTTAAAGTGATCATTTGAATCTATTAATGAAAAGAAAAATTATTGTTTATTTTTTGTCATTTATTTATGGCTGAGACCACACGGTTCATCTTTCTTCACCAAAATTTTTATTTTTGAAACTGCTTTATTGTCATACTGTTATTGTCATATTGGATTATTTTTTGTAATTATGTATAGTTCAAATAAAATTTTGAAGAGAGAAGTATATAAAATAAAAGCGGATAATTTAAGAGGCAGATGATTTTTCAAAAATAAAAAAGCGATACATATTTCTTCCATTATTGAAATGCATGTATAATTTTTTTTTCGAAATGGATAGTTAATGCTGGCACTAATTATTAATTTTCTGGATTTTCCTCTAAATTAGTTTAGATAGGTAAAGAATTTAATTAACTTAATCCTTCTCGATTTTTCAATAAGAAATTGAATTACAAAAGAAATTCAAAAAAAAAAGGAAAACAAAAAATATCGTTATCTTAATCGCTTTTAAAACCAGACTAAATGGCTCAATCACATTTATTTTATATGGCATTATTCAATTCATACAATAAATTTTATTGAGTTTTTGTTTCCAGACATTCAATTTAAATAAAGGAGTTCCTCAAACTTCTTGTTTTGAAAATGCATAATAAACAAACCTTAGGGATTATTTAGAAGATTATTTAGAAGTTTCTTTCTTCCCGTATTATTAATCATCTTCTTCATTATTTATACCTCCTTTTGCTTCTATTGTATTTTCTAATTCCATGTTATGATATATGCAAATGCTATTGTAGCTCCACACAAACATTTACTACTTTTGTGCTCTTTTATGTTTGGCAATGCGTCTCTCAACCACCTAGAAAGCAACGAAATGTATTTTTAAAGAGTCCCAAGGTTTGTTTAATTATCATACCAGTTTTCGATTTTTTAATAAAATAATTTTTCTGGGATTTCTCCAAACGTTTTTGAATAGAGCTATTAAATACGACAGTAATGGTAATCAATGCAATTGATAATACCTGAAATCAAGATTAATAGAAGAATTTAATCAAAATTTTTCGTTAGAAAATGAAAAATGTTTTAGCTTGCCATTTTTC